TTCTGCAGAGCAGCCGGATCACCATTGATAATGGCATTAGCAATACACATAATCTGGGCTGTCAAGTTGAGACAAGCAGCGAGACTACACATCTGTGGGAGCTGCCGGACGATATCTAGATTCTTTTGTTGCACTATGCGTATACCTTGTATTAGTATACTAGCTTATCGAACTTGCATTCGAAGAATTGATTTATGAAAAGGTATATGTACAGGTCTGGATGTAGGTGTTATTGACCACATGAGCTGTGCCTGTAGCTGAGGCGAACCCCGAGGCGAGGACGAGAGTGGCGATATTGAAGCGCATATTCGACAACTTCTGGAGAGAATTAAGAACAAAGAAACGAGAGGGGTAGGTCCAAATTCGGTATCTATTGGGCTATGAAGGGAGTTACGCTGTTGTTGGATTAGATAGTTGCTTATTATATACACTGAAGTACTAAGAGTCGCAGCACAAGGGATGGACACTCAGCCCTCGGCATGGATGTCACACTGGTGGCCAATTGGGAGATGGCGTATAGAGCGATGTGCAAACTAGCATACCCTAGTGGTAACACCGAGTCGCATTAGAAAGTTTGTCTTTCCCCAATGTCCGTACTGGGGGTAGGTAGCATCAGAGACCAATATAAGAGACTGGAGGGGCATTTGCACAAAAGTCCTCATATAAATGAGGGGTGAGAATCGGCTGTTTTAGTTGGCGTTAATGAACTCGGGAAAGGAGAAGCTAAAGTCGATTATTTGACATGGGTTACAACTAAGTACATGGCGAGGAGGTATCTCTCATAAAACAAAATAACGGGTAAACGCCGACAGGGAAGTGGTCGACCAGTACTCAGACTGGCAGATCGAAACTGCCGCAGGTAAATTCATAAAACACAGATGGGCTGGAACGAGTCACAAAACAAGGCATGATAACCACCGTAAAGGTAAGAGATGGCAGATGAATCGTGAAACATGACTCAAGGAAATGGGGTATCACAACGTCGACAATCCCAGTTCAAGATCCAGACTCGTAAACAAGCGTAAAGAAAGTATGTATGGCAAAAAATAATAATTAGAGGCGTTAATATTCGCACGCAAGAGACTGAAAAAGCAAAGTCAATAGATAATGCAAATGGAATACTTATCAAATCAGTTATAAGCACCGCCACCCACGGGCAGAGGCCAGTCGTCTTCGGTGATACTACTCCAGAAGGCCCAGACCCCGGAGACAGAAAGGAGGGTGAAGAGAGTTTCGAATAAAGCTCCATTGATCTTGCCATGCGAGGCCTGGCACAGGTGGGTGCTGATAACATAATTAAAGATTTGACCAATTGCGAACAACAAGCCAGCACCGCTGAGATACACTGTTGCACCGTTAGCACATGTTTATTTTGAGTCCAGTGTGGTAAACCTACGCATTGGGCGGAACTCGCCCAGAACCCGAAGCACTAGTACGGCCTCTAGGACGTAGAACAAGACAATGCAGACGAGTGGGAAGAGTTGGTACAGAACATAGAGGGCGATGTTGCGATTTGGTGTATCATGGCTTGACTGGAAGCGGCCAGTCCAATCGAATGCAGTGTCCAATGCAATATAGCCTGTCCCGATGAAGAGGACCACAGCAGATGCGCAGATGAGACCGATGGAAGCTGGGGTGCCGTCGTCAAGTAATTGGAAGCCAACCAGTGCGTTCATGAGAAGGACCCAGCAATTCGCCGTAATCGCGGCGATGTGTACTGCAGAAAATCCCTAGATGTTTCTGTCAGCTGAGGCCTCGAGTCTATCATGTAGAAATCCTACCTTTCGGACTGCGTCGTGCAGCGGGAAGCCGCCCACTGTGAATATTTCGCAGATCTCAATAATGATGAAACCGAGCAAAAATAATTGCATTTCCCTGCAAATACCGCCATGTCAGTCGACATCTCAATAGCGAACAAAGATATTCCATACCTCCGGCCGACAGCAGCGTGCTTCTTGTCCGATCTCCATATCATACCCAAGCTCAAGACAATAGCGATGAAGGCTAGCAGAATCGAACCTATCAAAAATCAGCAATCGTGCTCATATCATTTGTCCCCAATCACATCGACCTCGGTCTTGCAGATCGTACCTAAGTTCCGAAGGTGTCTATCCCCACTGAGAGGAATGCCGGTCAGATCGCACGCGCCGAAGGCATCAGTTGCGGTTTGATTGGTGAAAAGCTGTACACGACGAATGATACAGTCAGTTGACATTCCAGCCATTATAGGGAATTTTCAGAACGATCTCACTCACATTGCAAACTGGTAGGGTCGAGTCGCGACAGAAGTCCTGTGGTACCCATACAGGGTGTGCGGTCAGCATCTGCCCATTAGGAGGTCGGTCTCCAGAATCGATCCGCACTTACGTGAAATTTCCCGAATTGAGTGGACCCCATTTTGAATTGGGGATTTCAAATGAGAGGCAGAATAGGCGTGAGGCAATGTTGACAAAGAGTGTTCAGACTGGGGTGGCGTCTTGACCCGCGTGGAGGACCAGTCCAGATCGGTGGATCTCTAGTGGAACCAGGTTGTTTTGAAGGTGAAGAAGTAGAGAAATGAAACCGTGTGTAGCTGTATAGCTGTGTAGCCGTGCAGCGTGAATAGCGAGCTGATGGGAAATAAGAGATGATTCAAGCTGATTTCCACAGGTTACTCGGGGGACTCACAGGGCTGGCGCTAGTGGCTTAGAGTGAAAAAAAACCTCGTCTGAACTTCCAAGTTTTTTCGGGACGAATTTCGATCGAAATCGACTCGAATCCGACTCGAATGCGATTCCAATCGGATCAAAACAATTGAACTTTGGAAATTGAAGCGTGGGAAATGGTGCTTCCTTGGGTCCAGTCGCTAATAATAGTACTCTCGCCCGGAGGTATATGGTAGAAACAGTCCTTGTTCCTCTACTCTTCTGGATACGTACAGATCTCCCTAGACCCAGTGCTGATATTGTTTTCTTTTTTTTTGTTCTCTTCTTTTTTTAGGGATAAGTGGTGACCACCCTTGCCGGAGGACAATAATATGGTCGCCAGGTCGACCAGGTGGACTCAACCCACAATTTAGTGAACGTACACACATACAACATACGATCCAACGTTCAGGATATATATGCATCCTGTTTGGCGCCTGCAGTGCCGTATCGTTACCCTGTACCTCTACGGAGTATTCATATGTACTTACTATAAGACCTCGATCTAGCCCCGTTGGAAATTAATTGATAGCGTCCGATTTCAGCGAATCAGCACCTTCGTTTGAGAAGTTTGACAGGTACTCGAATGCTCCTCTAACATACATCCTCGATCACCAATTTTTGCCCATCATGATCGCCCAGATCCAGCTTCAAGGTGCGCCCGAACAGCTCAAGCAGCATCTCAAAGCAGACCTTGGTAATAGCTGGATCATACCGACCCTTGCTGAGCTCATCACGGATAAAGGCATCTGGATAAGTATTCTTGTCAGCATATTGATGCTCGAGGGTGAGCGATGTGTTCAACTCACGTTGTGCCCAAGCGACTTCATAGAAACCGAACAAGACGCCCTTATCATGGAGGGTCTTGCGAATGAGATCGCGTCCCTCGGGCGGGACGTGGTTATCGTTTTTGCCGAAGATCTGGAGATTTTAGCGATCGACACATACGAAACACAACGGAAATATATACATACCATTAGCATCTCACCCTTGATATCCCCAGCTCTCTCCAAACTATCATCATTCTTGCCTCGGGCAAGGGTTTTGCTGTGGATATCCGTGGCGAAGTAACACACGCTCGCCTTGACCCGGCTATCTAGCGCGCAACGATAGGCCAAATGGCCACCCAGACACATGCCCGTGGCACCAACTCTTCCAGTGCAAGTAGGCAGCGAGAGCAGATAATCCACACAAAGACTAGCGTCTTCGTCGTAAGCGGCAAGTTTCTGATAGACAGTCAGCGACTCAGCGCTTGAGATTAATCACAAGTATAGCCCAATAAAGAACAAGAATAGAAAACACAAGTAATGAATTTATCCATGGAAGCTGTCTTATTTCGCTTACCTTGCCAACCTTCCATGCATTCCCCTTGTCCGTGTCCTCCGCGTCATACTTCAGAGGTTCCGGACCAGTGAATTCATGATAGCTCGAAGGAGCAACACAAATGTAGCCCTGGCCTGCGATTTGGCGTGCAAAGCGTGCCACAGGGCCCGTTACTGTGGGTCGGGTCTTTAGTTGAGGTGTTCCGACATGGTCACAATAATAGAAGAGCACACGAACCTTGATAGATCTCGCTGAAGACTACGACTCCAGGGAAGCGGGCTTTGGGGTAGCCTGGGATTGTTGGATGGAAGACATAGATGCCTTGGAAATTGTTAGAATTGACATTATGAAGGAGCAATGGCGTTATAGCGGGGAGAAATGTGCTGTACGAGAGCGACCATAGTGTACATACGCATTGTCCCCTGTCCATCCGCTTTGGTGGGGACGTCATGATAGGATTCTTGGATCAGCATGTTGCCTTAGTTTCTTTCAAAGATAGAAATATATTGGAATAGAATTGAGAAACCAATTGAAACGACCGTAGAAATACAGACGATTGACGGTGAAATCATTATCGATAACACGCGGGGCAGTCATGTGCTGATACTGGCCAACATCTCAACGAAGTAGACGTCTTTGGTCTTTGGTTTTGCTTGAATGCACCAATTGTACTCCGTACATTAAATTGAATAGAATATACTGTCTTCACATCTGGATCAACTTCGGAATCCGATGACTTGTCGTACAAAAAGTCATAAAAAAGTCACAGGGTGGGTTCAAAATAACTCAAGAGGCCATCATAGGATGGCCGGAACATCTTGCTTCATGATCGGTACATATTAATAATCTATTTGACGTTTTGTTTATACATGTTACACCAAGGTTGTTTGGCAGAATGATGGTCTAATCGGACCTAAAGAAGTAAAAGAAGAATCCCCTGGGGTCTCAACTACCGAGGTCTCAATGACTCCGAGGGAAAGCAGCGGGCTGCGATTAGAAGAGATACTAGAGTACACAAGGTTAGACATAGGTGCTGGGAGAGTCCTCAAGGTCAAGTTACTCACAGGAATGAACAGGTAAGGCACCTGACGTTCGTATTCAAGCCAAGTCTCGCCGTACTTGGTACGACACCGCTGGATATCACGAAGAGCACGGTGGCTGATCATGCAAGCGAAGAAAACAGGGTAGAACCAAGGGAATGGGCTTGAGAATCCGGTAATCAAGCCCCAGTTCAGGGCGAAGTAAAGATCGCACGTGTAGTGGATCTTGCGGGCCTTTCCATCTATACGGTTGTTAGTATTGGAGCTTGTAGATTTTTGTTATTTGTCTTGAACTTACACCACCCATCTATAAGAATCTTGGAGCCATCAGCCGCAGTAAGAGTCTTGGGGTTCTCCACTGTCTGCCAAGGAAGCTGAGGGAAGGTGTTGCGGGTGACTATAGTACCACGCTCCTGCTGGCGGAAACGGTTCTTCTGGCTGTTGGTGGTATCCCACACCCAGTAGACAAACAGATACGCGACAAAGAGGAAGGCAAGGAAGTAGCGGTTCCAGCGGTATTCAGCAGGGTCGTGATTGGCGAGGTAAATGGTGCAGTGGCAGTAGCTCAGAGGCACACCGGCCAAGTTCCAGAAGATCAGCATGAAGCCCCACTTCTCGTAGTACATATCCCTATGAAATATTAGGAAATAATCTTGATTCTGGGGCAGGAGATACTCTTACCAGGTGGAAACAATGCACTCCTCACCCTTGGAGCAGGCATTGGCGTAAAGGTAGTGGGCCATGACAAGGAACATAACCTCGCCAGACACATAACCATACATTTCCCATTGGCGGGCCGCGGCACCCATAGACAGGCCGAGAAGGATGTACCACGGGAGACGGACCTCGAAGAACATCTTGAAGTCGAGGATCTTGAACATGCGGGGGTTAAGCTCCGCACCCATGAAGAAGTCATAGATCGGGTAGCCAGTCATACGGTGCTCTGCGCCACGCGCCAAAGCCGAGAAGTAGGCAATGAATGAGACAATATATCCAGAGAGGATGGCAACGGTGAGCAAGGGACCGAACTCATCAATGATGGTATACAGCTTGAAAACCCCAGTCACGTGCGCAATGAGTGCCAATGCAATGCTGGTGTAGAAAGACCACACACCAGAGCAGTAATATGGCAGCTGCTTGCCACCCATGTGTGGCAGGGGTCGACCGGAGACACTTACACCGGGAAGCAGCACGTAACAAGCACCCTCGAAGATGAAGAAAACCCAGTAGATAGTCCATGCCTTTACCGATGGGAAAGCACCGGTGTAGATGAGATCGACCAAGTGTGCGAAAAAGTCGCCATAACTCTCGTTCTCCGCGGGGCGAGGGAATTTGCCGTTGTAGTAGGTGGCACCAATCCACATGTAGTACATGAGCATGGGGAATCCGATCATCATGGACAGCACACCCAAGGAGCCACCGAATTCAAAGTGTCCGCTATAATCGACCTTGGGATCGAGGCCTTCCTCCCAACCGTCTATCACGCGAGATGGGGACTCGGGCTTGGTGTCGGTAGTCTTGCCATTGGGCGTGACCTTCACCGGCGTATCATCCTCCTCGGTCTTGATTTTGACTGCAGCACGACGGCGGGAGGCGGATTTGGATCTCGAGAGAGAGGGGGAAGGGGAGAGGGAGGCCTCATTCTCGCTACTTCCCAAGACAGAACTGTTGCGGGTGGCACGACGGCCGCCGGGGGTCTCAACGAAGCCGGGACGATCCATTTTTCTGGAGGAAGAAAGGGTTCCAAATTAGCTTGACAAAAAGCCTACTATGAACAGGCCAGTTGTTCCGGGTATTGGCAAGATATACCCTGATTCAGGGTGTGGATACGTCGCAACTAGATTCCGGTGGGAACTACTCACTTAGGGGTCTTCCCCGTTTGCGAGCGGGTTAAAGTCATGGTCGCTTAATCGGAAGACCAAGGTTCCGACTGCAATTGACTGCAATTGAGGGCAAGGAGAGGAATGGCTGAGGGTAAAAAGGAGCGAGGGTGAAAAAAAACTGGAATGCCCTGACTGTTTACTTTGCGGGCCCCGGTTCTGAATGATTACATAAGAAACAATTTTAAAATCTGCAAGATACCCAAGTATTGATCTGGTATATAAGTCTATAAGGGGGTATTTTATGTCCTGTGATAGGCGTAGTAGTAGAGCGTGAACGGTATTAGTAGTATATATGGTACATCTACGGAGTATATCCGTTCAAAATCAGATAGCAGTCAGGTTGTAGATTTCCCTCCATAGATACTAAAAGGGGCAGAATACCCTTTTTTCCAGTCGCTAGTGCTATGTAGGGTACTGCAGTATTTCCCCCCACAAAAGGCAATTTACCATTTAGGGAGAATTGGTGGTTGAGTGGGGGGAGCTCGTTGTCAACTGCCTATTTTGAAGCCCTAGATCTATGCAATTTACCCCTTATTGTATTTGAGCTATGTCGTACGGAGTTGACTAGTTATTTCATATTGCCTGAATAATTCATTTATTTCTTCTGACTTCAACCTTCCAACAGTTATTTTCCCTCTGCTTCGGAGAAGACATCACAGATATACATAATGTTCCTTGTATATGAAATGTAAATATAATTGTGTTTATTTCAGTAGCATAGCATACGGACACAGCCGAGAACCACATATTAAGACAACCCGAAGATTCGGGGAAATGGATCATATACATAACTATGATAATGCAGTACGAGCTCAATAGCAATTGAGAAAAGTGAAACACGCAAGGCTTCATCAAGATTTATGCCCCTCTCTGGCTACTAGTGGCCATCAAAGTGATCTTAGTTTTGTTTTTCTTCTTTTTCTTACCCCCACTGGACGATGGTCCGGGATTTTGACTTTGGTCTCCAGATGCCGTCTGGGCGAGCAGATCAGATTCCTGCTGGGCGAAGAGCTCGTCCTCCCAGCCCTGCCGCCACCCGTCACTGTGTACAGCTCGTTGAGCTTCAAGGCTTGGCGACAGTGAACCCACTGCCGTTGTGCCCCAAACAGTGCGGATGCCTGGGGGACTGGTGGAAGGAGAAGCCAATGCCCCGAATCCAGACGATGAGCGCGGAGGAGAGGCCGAGGAGGCCGTAGCATCAAATAATGTAGGATCCACGTTGCGAGGAAGTGGTTGGAAGTCATGAGCAGAGAATGGGGCTTCACTGAGGCTGGCACTTCCAATGCTTGGCCGCTTGCGCCGAGCGGCAGCCCACCGTTTGTCGTCCTCCTCTTTCTCCGCGCGAATACGATCCTTTTCTTCCCGGGCTTCTTTTTCCCGGTTACGCTTTCGACGTCTATCAGTCTCTGCGCGGAAACGCCCCAAAACCTCGGGAACAACCACGTCTCTCCAATCGCACTCCAGGAAGCTGACTTCACACCCCTGTGGAAGATGCCCGAGGTACTTCACTCGCTTGCGAAGCTCATCATCCACAATGTGGCCTGTTGATATGTGCTCCACTCGCGGTAGGATGGTTGCAGGGAACATAGAATATTCTCCGAATGCAGCCTTGAGGATACGAATATCCAAGGACGACAGATAGAACTGAGGCAATGCCTGATAAAAATGATATGGTTGATCTGGCCCGGAAGACACTGACGTTTGCTTGCTGCGGCCTTTCTCTTTAGCTTTGGCACTGGATTCAGGATCAAGATGGACGTCGTCTAGGGTTCGAGAAAGATGGTCCGATTCATCTGATGTTGCTGGCGCCACAACAGAGTGTGCAGAAGAGCGACTAGCTGGCGTAGGTGCAACATTGCGTTCCTTGGCTGGCCGAACCTCAGGCGGATTGCCAATGCCTTTCAGTTTCTCTTTGGCATCCATGATAGAACCAATTGCTTTTCGTGTCCAAGTATTCTCATCACCAAAGAGAAGCTCGTCTTCGACTTCCTGTCTGCGGAGATCTTCGATCTCAGTATCATATTGAGCGGTCATATAGTCTTCGCCGCCTTTCATGATTCGAGCATAGTCGGCAACTTCCGCCACGTGATACCATGGAACGTCATCACCTGGACCAAGTGTCTCGGACCCATCACGAGGCAGAGCAAGGGTGCTGCCCGACTCACGCTTTACGAGTCTCAATACAACATCACCGCCTTCGACGGGAAGATCGCCTTCTTGGCCACGGAACCACCTGACAGGTCGAGTCTCGGAGATATACACAGAGTCCCAACATATAGGACATTTCTTCCAACGGTGCCGTTTTTCAGGGACCGTATTATCGTCGTCGGATGAGTGCATGTAACGGATAAGGCATGGGAGGCAGAATATGTGACCACACCGTGCCATACGCGGTGCAACTGGAGTAGAAAGACAGATCGGACAACTGGCAGCCTGTGTTTGAGCAGATACCAGCACTTGGAGGACCGAGGTCCAATCGAGATGGACATCGGCATTGGCTGCCTGAGCATGGAAATTTTGATTTGGCATCACAATAAAGCGATAATTCGCATGAACATAACGCGATTTGTCTATTGCGCCCGCTCCCCATGATGTATACCGTCGGATGTTGCGAGGAGGTGCTTGGTATTGTGGGCGAGGTGGAAGTGAAAAGTTCATCAAGTGAGTGATGGACGTCTGTCCCTTCCGGCTGGTGGTGGATTTCATGGCGGCCTAGATAGGGGCTCCGGGGTCAGCAGGCAGCTCTTGAGGAGATAGACCTGTGAACCCACCGATTCGTTATACTCGTCATCATCCAATAGCCGAGGTTTTCTTTGACGGTTATGTTGACTCTTCCGAGCTTGATTATTCCTTGGGGTAGCTGAAGCTTTCGATGACATCCCTGGTCGAGAACTTCCAGGGCCTCCTACGCGCTTTTGAGAGCTGTTGTCCGCTGGAGCTGTTGAGTGAAATGGAGTAGACGAGGCTGTATTCGGAATGTTTACCGCTTTGGAAGAGGGCAGGTTCTGTCCTGCATTGGATGACATATCTCTGCGGTATGCGGTATTTATCCTGCAACAGTGAGAGCGCAATAGACTAAACAAGGCAGAAAGACGAAGCGAGCCAGTTGGCTGAATAGAAGATGAGGGGTTATATGGGAGACTCTGGATAAAGCCAATAACTGATAAGATGTCAATCAGCTAGCGGGTAGTAGATCGAGTGATCAACCAGATGCCTCAGATTGGACCAGAAGAGGTGAAGTAGAATGAAGGACCCTAGAGGCCATGTAAGAATAGTAGTGAGGATCGAGGGACGGCCCTCAGGGTGCCAGTTGATGTCGTGAAGGTACGGTTTCGCCCCTCTCCGGTTACAAATCGTAATGTCACGTGAACCAACAAGTCCCGGCGATTTTCCTATATTAAATTTTGACCGCCTAATTCACCGCCAGATCTCATTACTTACTGATTACGAACTCCGTATGGGGTAGTTAGTTCTTGATTTTCACACAATTTCTACTTTAGACATTCATGATAAGCCTAGCACCTAGATATACGGATAAAATGTAGAGAGTAGAGGAAAATTCAAACATTAAGAATTAGACTTCAATTCCTAACTTATATAGAGGCCTTTGTGATATTGATATATTGAAACGTATAAAATACTTATATTACGAAGCATACTGCTGGCAGAATCTGATATGGCGCACTGGGGGTTAGAGGCTGCCGTAGTCCCGACACCCAATTCGGTCTCGGTCTCCTTCAGCTTCATTTCGTTTGACGGTGAATCGAGGCCTCCTAACCCTTGTCTCTTATTTCCTTTTTTCTCTCCTTCTGCTCACTCGCTTCTCATACCCACTTGTTGACTCTCTCCGCCTAGGGAGTTACTTGTACAGCGATCTCTTTCTCTTGTTTCCTGACTCCGATCTGGTTTGCCAGTCTCCTTCCACCAATCCCAGCAACACCAACAGCTCTTTCGACGCAGTTCATCCTTCACTCCAACTATCCAACATATCCAACACCTCTTACCGAGGCCACGATGGCTGCCTAAATGCGACAGCATCTCCAGATTTTTTCTTCCTCTTGACTGCTATCGCGCATGGCACTCATCTGAGGCAACGCGTGACCGAACGTCAAGACAACTTTTTTCTCTAGCTAGCTCAAGATGAACCACCACCTCCCTGCCATGCCGCATGGGCAGCTGCCTATGCCTCCTTCAAGGCGCCAGCAAGACTTTTCTTACAATACCGCGCCTCCCCATATGAGATCACCACAGTACATGGGATACCCTCCTCACATGAATGGCCATATGCCTCATCAACCATACCCATCGCAGCAATACCCTTACTGGTATCCACCATATGGACATATCCAGGGGCCTCCACGTCCATACCAGGCGCCCTATGGACCGATGATTGTATCCTCATATCCTCACTCGCAGCCTGTCATGGCGCCCACGCATATTCCTCATTCGATGCCCATGCATCAAAGAACTCCGACTCCACTGCAACCGATAATGTCTCCGTCTGTCCTGCATCCATCGATTCAGCCCATTCAGCCCGAATTGCAGGAATATCCTGCTGTTCTACCCCACTCGGCCCAGGGGTATCCTATCGCTTCTCCGCCACCACGATGGGAGCCACAGTCAAACCTGCCGCCGAAGCCCACTTTTGCCCCACCAGTAAGCGTTTACTCTCATCTCGAATTATAATACTTTTCTAACAGGTAGTCTAGATTCCTTGGCTCTCTGTTCCGGAGCAGCCCTTCCCGGCTAGAACCCCGCGGAGACGTCGCAAGGGCCGTGTTATGCAATCATCAGTTGAGCTTCCCACCAAAGATACGCACATAGTCATCGAAGGCGATGAAAACGAAGAGACTCAGCCATCTTGTTCTTCCACGCGAGAATTTTCGGAACCTCAAACCCCAACAACCACGACATTCCAACAGTCGGATGCAGACTCCACACAGCCCACTACCCCTTCGTCAGTTGCAAGGTCGCAAGCACAGTCGAAAATTCCAAAGCCTGCTCCGGTTATTCCAGTGGTGCCCAATGTACCATCTACCCCCCGTCGCCAAGCCAAAGATGGCAGCGTCGCATCTGGAACCCCTAAATCGACTGCACCTGTTACTCCTGCCCCAGTAGTAGAATCAGATAAAGCTTCTTCTACAGAAAACAAGACAAGCTCGCCTGTGCTAGCTGCACCCAAGTCTTGGGCTGATTTGGTCCGTTCGAAGGAGTCGGCGAAAGCAGCAAGCGCCGCGGCTGCGGCCGCTTTGGCTGAGCCACACGGATTGCCTATCCAGAAAAACAAATCACTCGCAGACGTCCTGAGCAAATTGGGAGAAGATGTCACTCAATACAGCGACAAGATTGCGTTCCTTGAACCTCGAGGACTGGTAAACACTGGAAACATGTGCTACATGAATTCTGTGTTGCAAATTCTTGTTTTCTGTACCCCGTTCTATCAGTTCCTTGATCATCTTGGCCGACGTGCTGCGCACACTTTCCACAGCGATCTTCCTTTGATCGATGCGATGATTATGTTCATGAAAGAATTCCGTGTTATTGACGCGGCCACTTCCGAAGACCAACTTCGTCTCAGATTGAAGCCCAATGAGCTTGAGCAATATGGCGACTCTTTCGTTCCTGAATTTGTTTATGAGATGGTTCGACAGCTGCCACGATTCAGGGACATGCGGCGCGGACATCAGCAGGATGCCCAAGAGTTCCTAGGCTTCCTTCTCGAGGAGATGCACGAGGAGTGCGCTCGTGCCGAAACGCACACTGCAGCGAAAGAAGGCGGTGATTCTCCTATCGACGGCTGGTTAGAAGTTGGCCACAAGCAAAAAGCAGCGGTCACCCAACTGTCTGGCTCACTTGCCGCTGAGTCGCCGGTTACCAGAATCTTCGGAGGAAAGCTTCGGTCAGAATTCAAGGTGCCTGGTAACAAGACTTCTGTCACATTAGAACCCTATCAACCTTTGCAACTCGATATTGGGTCTCATGACGTTCACAACATTCTCGACGCTCTCAAGGGAATGACAAAGCCGGAAAGCATCCAGGGTGATTTCAATTCGTCGCGCGGACCCAACATAACCGCGACCAAACAAATTTTCATTGAGACTTTGCCTCCTGTCCTCATTCTTCATCTCAAGCGCTTCCAGTACGACAGTGTCACAGGTGCCACCCAGAAGATTTGGAAGAAGGTTGGGTATCCCCTAGACCTGGAGCTTCCGCGAGAGGTTTTCCCAGCTCACCGGCGCAACGCCATGGCATCCCAGGGAGGTCCCCCAAAGTATCGCCTTATGGGTGTGATTTACCATCACGGGAAGAACGCCAGCGGTGGTCACTACACAGTCGATGTTCGGCGCCAGGAAGGCTTGGAATGGATCCGCATGGACGACACTGCCATCCGTCGCGTTCGCAGCGAGGAAGTGGCGGAAGCTGGTGGCGAGGAAGACCCTAAGGTTCTTGCTGCCGCCCTTGAGCAGCACAGGCATGGCAAGATCCCTAACGGCAATATTTTCGACCACATTGATCAGGATGACATGGATTTAACTGATAGCGACAAGGGCTGGAGCCAGGTCAATGGCAATGGTGCCAACGGACATGCAAGCAAAAAATCCGTGAACGGAGTCACTCCACCTCCTGCCGCTCCCTCTGGGGTCCGAACTCCCCTGGGCCGCTATGGCCCTCGGGACGACAAAGTGGCCTATCTATTGTTCTACCAGCGGATGGATTGAGGTTTGTCGCCAAAAGCTTCGCCATTAGGCTGGGCATCACTTCTTGAACGACGCGTTGAAAAAGCATCATACCCACTACATCCTATGACACATCGAGTTTTGTGTCTTCCACAAAGTCATGCATATTGATCCTCACTCCAGAGGATTATCTGCCGCCTGTATTGACAGGTCATACATAACATCCATCTATCGGCGAGCTCGTTCCATTTTTGTGTTTACAGCTCGTCTCTGCACATGAAACACCGTTCACAATAGAGCCATCTGGAGAGAGGAACACAATATAGGGCACGGCGGTCCTTTGACATCCACATCTCTACCCAAAGGCTTCTTCATCATATCTCACTTTTGCTTCACAAAAGCATTTACCCGGGCTCCGTTTTTACCTTTTCTTTTTGACCTTTTCTTTCAGTGTGGCGAATCCGAATCATTTGCTACTCCATAACTCATTGTCTTTGAGCCAATTTTTTTCCAGTCTACCTTTGGGCTGTATCTTAGGGATATTGACCTCGGTTTATACCCCTCTCCGTTTTCTTATGGATACCTTATTCAAATCCATCTTGGCCTTCTCGCACATGACCAGGCCGAGATGAATGGGTTTCCATGAGCTGTTCCTATCAAATTCTTTATGTTCTTTGCCATGTCATTTGACATCTGGCGTGGATACAGGAGATCCTGTGACGAAGTCCCGAATTTCCTTGTCTTGATCTTGATTACTTTGTCTGCATAGAAGGGTGTTGAAGAGGGTTGGTGATGTTCAGCCTCGGGTGTCGGGGCGTTTCTTGCTCGTGTTAGTAGGGAAGAGGAGGGAGGTTAATGGTGCAGACCACAATGGGTTGGAGGTTTGGAAGAGAGTGGAGGTTACAGGTCGGCAGCCTGAATTGCGCGAGAACGCAGAATACCAGGTGTGGTATGTCAAAAAGCCTGTTTTTACTGAAAAAAAAAATTTCAAAGGAAGTTTATCTCAAGTGTATTCAAAATTGTAACACGTTGTTTGGTTTATTTATGTAACATGTAGGTTATACCGGATGATTTGCAATCAAGCATGGAAGACAGGCATTGCAGCCTCGCCCATGATTTCCACATCCCCATCCTCCACAAACTCAAACCCAAGAGCCCTCCAGTTCAACTCCTTCCTCCAATGCAGCCCGTAGTAACCTCTTTCGCCCTCCTTATCAACCGTAGAGGTATCAGCCTCTGCGGCTTGATCAAGCTCATCGGCCACAGGACCAACCGGCTCAGAAGACAGGCCACCACTCGCTAACCTCCCACGTCTGGGGAAGATGACAGATCTGAACCGGGACAGAAGCAAGCCCATAGAGCAGCACAGACACGGCTCATGAGAAAGGTAGACGTCCAAGTCTGTGCAGAGATAGCCACCCTGCGAGCGAGTGCGGATGCGCGGGGCTGCTGGCGTTGTAGTCGGAGCAGCAGAATCCGCAAATACCACGGTAGATGGGGGAGGAGCAGGGAGAGGTGGTTGATAGACGTGGGATTGGGAAGGGTCTGTAGAGGGGTGGATACTCAAGTCAGATTCAGGGTTAGGGACTTCGTGCTTTCTCTTTAATGTGGAGGACGGAGACCGAGGTGAGTTTGAGATGTCGGTGGATGTAGGACGGTGACGGTATAAAAAGTATGATTCGAAGGCGCTCAGTTCTGGCGCTTCTATTTCTGGCTTCGATGGATGTGTAGTAGTCGTTGATGAAGACACGTCGTCAAACCGATCGTGTTCTCGCCGCCAGCGAGCAATCAGATCGACAGCACGCATCAGCGCGTGCAGTTCAGGCCCGCCCTCGACATCCGCGTCATATATCTTGCTCGCTGGGTTTGGCGCTACCCCGGCGTGCAGCTGGGCCTGTGATGGTGCAAGCGCTTCGGAGCGGGAGTACCGTGCATCACCGGCAACCGCGAGGACTGCTTCGTCCCATTGTGACGTGGTGTCATGTCCGGCCTCATAGCCTGCCGCGGTTAGTTCTTCGTCGATGGCAGGGTCGACTATCACCGCGCCTACGCCGCGGCCTAGCCCGGATTGTTCTGCTTCCTCTGCTACTTTGCGCGCTAGGGATAGGTGGTACCCTGCCCGTGGTTCAATAGATTCTTGTACACGTTTTAGGGTTTGAAGAGGCGGCGCGACAGTTGAGCGCGGTGCGGCTGGGTTGAATATGACTGGCCAGAGGGTCTTGGTCCATGTTTCGGCTTGAGTTGTGTTGAAGGGGGGGCAAAGAGGAATTTTGATAGGGTAAAGTTGAATAGTAGGGGTTGGTATATCGGATTGTGAAGCTTCGTCTGGCGTTTCATTCGTAGTCGGAGGATCGTTTGTAGCGGCCGGCGCCGTGTGCGGCGCAAATGGAGCGAGCAGAGCCTTGAGTGTGGTGAGATCAGGCAGTGGTGGTGATATGAGGACGAAGATAGTTTGTGTCGGGGCCGTTAGAGGAACTCTCTGGCTTTCAATGGCTGCCTTCAGCGGCGGCGGGAGTAATTCTTTTTTCGCGAAACGACGGAGGTGGGATAGCGGAAGGGAAGGGTCTTTGGGGAAAGCCGCGTCGATAGCCCTAATTGAGGATTAATATGGAGTTTAAACCGGGAAACTTGGGAGTCCATAGCTTACTTGATCACTTTGGATGCAGACTTCACATTGACTTCTGCGACAAAGGCATCGCCTACTTGTTGGTTAATCATGATGTCGCAAGAAGAGGGCGATATTGTAGGTCATACCGAATTCTTCTTGGGGCCTTGTCTCTTGGACTGTTCGAATAGGGACCACTTGCCCGTCAAGGGGCTTGAGGCCTCTGATTGTCCTTTCAACGTCCATTCTAGCTATCTCAAACGGCACCCAGCCAGGCGCGGGGTGAGATAGAATGTTGCAGGATAGGTTGACAATGTACAACCAATGTCATAGGGTAAAAGCGATTGTAACTGAAAGTGCCTTGGGCTTGCATTAAGCCTCAATCGCCGACATCGACTTGAATAATTCAGCCAAAGAGGAAGTATTCACATGAGGACTTGGAAAAAAGAAGAAAGCTATACAAAGTTAGTAAGCAAACAGTGCAAACATGATCTCACGCTAGTTCGCTTTGGTCTTTTATATGGTTTACTCTCCAAATGAACATCGATCAAATACATTTACGAGAAGCTAGACATAGAAGTATATGGGAATCTCCATAATGATAGTTGCTCCATATGTATCTCGTTTCCAACCCTACAATTTAAAATGCTCAGATTATGAGTCGATATTTGAGATTTGTATGGTTCTAAAAAAATACCCGTTTAAGACAAAAGGCCATAGATATCACCTCATCATCCCGTGAGACATCAAACGCCGAATGCCCCGTAAAATAAAAAATCGCTGAAAAGTAGGAACAAGGTACAACCCATTGACCTTTTGGTATATGCTGAGATAGATCCCTGTTCTAAAGCGCCGTGTCTGATGCCGGTGCTCCTCGATATTAAATCAAAAGCAATGGTGCATCGAGATCAGACACCATCACCCCCCCTAATGCAAGTGGTATGTATTAATTCACACCGCCAGTGGCTCGGCGGGTGACAGGCGGAAGAACCCACTCATCCATGGCTGACTCGAGACCAGCCCGAGTGGTCCAGGGCAGAACGTAATTTGTGCAGATTTTGCATCGGCGTATTTGGGCGCAATCTCCAGCTTTATGTTGAAACAGGACCGGCTGCTGGGGCAATTCCCGTTACCCCAGCTTTAGCACTGCCATTCTGGCAAACGCCTTCAATTTCAAACCCTTCGCATCGATCGACGAGACTCTGGTAATAGTCCACCAGCACTTCCGGTTGTGGAACAATGCGCCATTCGACTCGGAACAAGAAATCTAGTTCAAGCATGGCTAATTCCGTCATACCGATTCCACCAACTCGAGCATACGTTTTGTTGGTCCAAAAACTGTCGCTGAGTCCCTTGCTGGCGACGGTGGCGCTGGTGATCAGGAACCGATGGATGGTGAGACTCGACACGGTGAAGGCGGGGTACAGCGCGCAGAGTCGATCGATGTAGTAGACCATGCTGAGGAGGATGGGAGGTGAGAGAGTAGCGTGGGTTGTCAATCGCTGGAGGTAATCTTGCACGGAGATTCGGGGCGGAGAGCGGGAGTGAAAGCGAGTCAGACGACCCTGGTGTAGTGGGATCTTGTCGTTGAAACGGATCAGCTCCATCAGCATGCTAGAGATCAGCACGACCATGTCACGAGGGTCGGCCAGTTCATATTGCGTGGGCAACATCTTGACCTCTGGTTTGGAAGGTCGCAGGCGCTTGGACTGCGATCTTTCCAAGTCTTCGCCATCGTATTCCGCCGGCGTCGCATCCGATGAGTGATGGTCGCGTTGGCTATTGCGCTTGTTGGAGCCCGGGGTTGGGGCGGGCATCGAGGGAGCGGGGGAGGAAGAATCTGGGGGTGGGTTTGTAGATGGGGCAGTCGCCGGGGTGGTTGCAGTCACGGCGGAAGAAGTAGATTGGGGTGTCGAAGCCAAGGCCGAATGATTGACCAGGGTCTTCAGAGTGTCGGATGTCGATGCGCGCCTGCGTTGAAGATCTCCTGAAACTTCAGGAGATGAAGGATCGACAGTATGCCGATTCAAGGCTGAGCGAAGTTCGTCGATGGCCAGACGCGAGGATCTAGGACTATTGAATTGTGGAGCGCCAGTCGGCTCATAGTGGGAATGAGAATGCGACCCCGAAGTTGAAGGAAGCGGGGAGCGTAACGCAGCCGTCGAAGGCGAGGGCGAAGACGCCAACATAGTTTTTTAGGGTGTGACTAGGTTATTAAGGAATGAAGGGAATCCGAGCATTCACAGTGCGAGGTGAGACCACGTGGGCGCACTGTCAGGGCGCGCTGTGGATGGCGTGGGTGCACGGCCGGCCCTCATCCTCAGAGGCTTAAAAGGCTAGGGAAAGCGGAAGGGATTGCGATGGTATGAAACCAAATGTCGCCAAAGGAAAGAGGGGGAATGATCTGGGAAGAACACTCCGAATGGCCTTGGACAAGAGAACAGGAAGGGGGCAAAAGCCGGTTGAAAATCTTGTTCTTTTCAAAGTTCGTGAGGTAATGAGATCCATGCTGTCAGTGGCTGGATGCTTCCGGTGACTGTACCGTTACAGTATGTGTATTTTTCTATTTTCTTGTATTCTGTCTAGATGTCCATGTATGTATATAGAGGTGCGTAGAGAGCTGATCTTGGCGAACGAAGGATCGCAGTCTTTTTGATCAAATTAATAGCCCTAGATGTTGTGTAGCGGTCTATCTATTGTACAGGGATGTGACGGATCAGACGGAGCAGACGGGAATCAACTGAATCTACTACCGAGCCCCGGGAAGCGGGGTGAAACTGCCGTACTCTAGCTGGATTGGGTTAGAGTGCCAAGACAATTAGTAGAATACATTGTGATATCTTGCAGTTCTACATAGATATCAAGATATATAGATATAGATCCTATATAGGTATATGGCAGCTAATGGTTGTATTTACATCGTGCCAATATCTGATTCCCCAGATTCAAACCAGCAGTATATCGGATTGGCTGCAGTGCTGTATGTAGATGGGGACTGATACCAACGGTCAAGGCCTTACAATATAGGCTACCAAACACATAACTAACTAGTTATAGATCTCAATACCCAGGCAAATATGGATTAAGATTCATACACTCCTAATACATACCCTTAGATTCCATGGAAAGGCAAACAATCATGGAAATCATGCCAATGTGTGGTTAGATTCTAGCTATCCCCATCATACTCGGCAATGACATTTCTTGACAGAATATCTTAATATAGAAGCAGTCAGAATGTTCAGTTTCCGTAGCAAAGTGTCGTTATACAAACATTTATAGCCTCAGACCAGTAAGGTTGTCGCTCCTTCATTAGTCCGGGACCACTTTTCTGGAACGGTGTGTGTAGGCAGAACCAAAGTGCGGAGTATCTCTAGGCCCGGCTCTACAGTTCCGGTCTGCCATCATATCTATGTTGTACATCCAGGTCTACACAAGCTTCACATCAACGGAGATCATTTCCTCAATTTCATTTTAATTTCTCTACTAATTCCTTGATCCAACAAAGTGAAACGCCGAGAACCTCCCGTTGGGAGGGGGTGATCGCTAGAAGATGACGCGAGCTGCCGCACCGCCGATTCTGCTGCAGCTACAGAGTGCCGAATCGGCCTCCTCTCAGATTACAGTTTTGCGCACTCTGAAGAACGAATTGATTGGCCATGACCAGCGCAAGGAAGCCTACATTTTCGAGGGAATCATACCAGCTTTGGCACAGGTACTGACCTCGAGATGGCCGGGAACGGCCGAGTTTAATGAATCGATATTGCACCAAGGCCGGTCCACACCAAAAGCCCCCGAAGATTACGAAGCATGCCTTCAAGCAACTTTAATTGTTGGGAGTTTGGCACAAGGTACGTGATGACTAGAGATCCTTATTGCCAAGACAGACACTGACTTTACTGAGTAGGTGGTCCGACGTTTCTCACCCCACTATTCGCGAGCAATATCCTCCAGACCTTGCTTTCAATATTTTCCTCGTCGGATTGCCCAGATTCATTCTGTCTTCCAATTTTACGGCTTCTGAACACAATTGCAGACCGGATACCGTTGCAAAGCCAGGAACAATGGCCTCGGGACACACAGCTTGCGGATCTTGTTTTTGCTTCTGCAAATATTACCTCTCTTAGACGTATAATCTCGCAGGAGTACAAGAACCTGCGTACTCAGGCCACGATCGAGTTAGCAGCGGCTCTAATCGGCAAGCTATGCACAGAGGAAACCCATAAGACGGCACTAGCAGAATCCGGGGTGTTGGATGCTTTGGCACTCAAGATTGCCTCCTTTGTTGTGGCCCAAGGATATGTTCTGCCTGGCGCGGAGGATCGCCTTCAAGATCCTGGTGCATTGGAGGATCTGCCACTTCCGGCCCCCGAATCCGCCCAGCTAGCACCGATCCTGCGCGCAGTTGCTGTCATCATTGAACAGTCGAAATGGAGGGCAGAGCACTTCCTGTCATCGCCTGGAATTGTGACGGTGTTTCCAAAACAAGTTGCTGGGTTCGCTCCATCAGATATCAAGAAAGCTCCCTGGGGATCCACATATTTATCGGGCTCCGCAGTACCCCGTCATCTTGGCTCCAACCCCATAGAACAGCTTTTGCCGTCGGTTCCTCTAACACACACAAAATCATCTAGTTCTGCCAATTTCCCACCTCTGGGACACGGGGGCTCACAGCGCCGACACAGCCATTCCTACCCCATGCCTTTTTCACTTGCTGAGACACCAGTCCCAGAAGAAGAGGAGAATTCGATTGTGCCATGGCTGCTCTGCATTCTCCGATCAGAGAATGGCATGACACGGTTGATGTCCGCCCGTCTTGTTACGGCCCTCTTCCGGTTAGGATTGGCGAAGAAACATCGCATTCCAATGTTCAGTTATTTGTTGATTCCCATCTTGATTCGTATGCTTGACAAGAACGTCCGACTGCCAGATGAAGAAGGCGCTGTTCATGATGGGCTGCTCTCGTCGACCTTGCGCTTAAAGGAAGAGGCGCCTGCGGTATTAGCCAACTTGGTCATGGACGACCAGGAGTTGCAGAGACACGCAGTAGAAGGCAATGCGCTTAAGCGACTTTCCCAACTTCTCAAGGAGACTTACAACCCAATCACGGAGACATCCCGGCCGATGTGGCACGCAGAGAGTAGCCCAACCCGGGACATTGAGTCTCTTCCACAAGAGTGCCGGCTCGGACCTTCCGGTTACTCTCCGACCCTTTGCCATGTAATGCGTTACCGAGAGAACATTCTCAAAGCTTTGGCAGCACTAGTCCCATTTAAGGATGAGTACCGCAAGGCGATTTGCGAACATGGCGTAGTCCCTTACATCATTGACGCCCTCAAGCCAAGGCCTAGTGATGCACCAGCTGATGCTCCAATGCCCAGAAATACTGCAGAGGACGGAAACCCGATTCCGACCATTCTTGCTGCTTGTGGTACAGCTCGGATGCTGACCAGATCCGTGAGCGTGCTTAGGACTAGTCTTATTGATGCCGGCGTGGCTAAGCCACTGTTTGCCCTTCTTCGCCATTCTGACCTCGAGGTACAAATTGCAGCAACAGCTGCAATCTGTAACTTGGCCTTGGACTTCAGTCCCATGAAAGAGGTTGGTCGATGTCTATATTTTGTTCACAAACTTTGCAGCTAACATAATCTTCTCAGGCGATTATTTCCCACAACATAATTCCCATCCTTTGCGAACACGCTCATTCATCCAACACCAAATTACAGATCGAATCGCTCTGGGCTCTCAAGCACATGGTTTATGACACCGCAAACGACATCAGAATGAAGATCATCGAGACTTTGGGCCCGGAATGGATTATGGAGATCATCTCTCAGGATCCCGTCCGCGCAGTGGCTCGACGGGAGATAGAAGAGGAAACAGATCAAAGTCCTGGGTTTGCCATGGGTCGATCCAACTCGGCTGGCGAACAGGTCGATATTCTGAACCCCATGGATGATGCAGTGGAGTGGGACGAGGATCTCAAGATGACGGATACCATGCCTCCTTCCAAAATGAGTTTGGACATGTTCCTTCCTGATGCAAGACGTAGGCGCAAACTCGTTCTGCACGGAACTCTGGCTCAAACCACACAGTCTCGACAGGACGATATTGCCGTCCAGGAGCAGGCATTCGACTTACTGCGCAACATGATCTGTGGTCGAGATGCACCTGAGATGATTGAATATCTATTCAAAGAACTCGGTCAAAATGATTTGCTTGATGCCATCGCAGATACACTGCGACCGCGTACCATCCAACTGCCTCACCGCCGAGACTCCAGCAGTCAGTCCCTCCACATTCCCAATGAGATCATCAACGCAGCCGCCGCTCTCATCATCCACTTGGCGGCCGGGCACCCACGCCACCGGCGCATCGTTGCGTTCCACCGTGACTTGCTGCGGTCTCTAGGCAATTATTTCAACCATTATAACAAAGACATTCGATCGAACTGTGTCTGGGTAGTGATCAACCTCATCTACGAAGAGGATCAGAGCGATCATGAAGGTTGTCGGGAGCGGGCAGTGAGACTTCGGTCTCTTGGCTTTGCGGAACGGCTGGCTAGCCTCGAGGATGACACGGAGCTAGACACGAGGGAACGTACAAAGACTGCGCTGCATTTGCTGAACAAACTGTCTCCTGCATAGCTGATATCTTTGTTATGGTTAGAGTTACCCGTTGCTGGATGGATCAGGACTACTGTAGGAAAATCTGGACATAATTTTTTTTTTTGCTTACCGTGACGAGCTCATCTCGTCTCATAGCTAAATATAGGATTTATACAACTTGGTGAATATGTACATGGGAACTGTAAGCATTTCATATGGTGACAAAAGCTCGATGTGGAGTAAAAACGTCATAGCCCTTTGCAATCCGGTCTATTCACGTCTCTACGTCTCTGCGTCTCTGCATCTCTGCATCCTGCATCTAGTTAAAAAAAAAATCTATTCTTCCTAACACCAGAAATCTAATAGCAATGTCCCCCGTACCAGAACCCATTCTTCAAGCCCTCTCACTCCCATCCGAATCAAAAGTCAGCCTCTCCACATCCGGATTAGGTTCAGGCTTCACAAGCACAGGCACCATCCACGCCCAGATTCCCGCCAAAAATGGCACAGAAGAGCGACGCTACTTTGTAAAAACCTCCTCAAAAGGCAAAGCCGCAGAGGAAATGTTCCAAGGCGAATCCGAGTCTCTCAATGCAATAGCAGCCTCAGTGCCAGGGTTCTGTCCGCAAGCCCTAGCTCGGGGTCCACTCGACGAGCCAGGTGCAAAGGCCAAAACGCACTTCCTCGCAACAGAGTTCCTCCAGCTCGGCGGCAAGATGGGCCGCAGCACGGATGACGAAGTCACGCTCGCGCACCGCCTCGGCAGACTGCATACCACGCCCGCACCTGTGGACCCGGACACCGGCCGGCACAGATTCGGATTCCCCGTACCAACCTTCTGCGGTGATACCAAGCAGCCGAACCGGTTTTGTGACAGCTGGCCTGAGTTCTACGCGAATGAACGGCTGCTTACGATCCTAGCTACATCTGAAGAGCGCAATGGGCCCGATGCTGGGCTGCGCGAGGCGGTTGAGAAGACCGCGCATGTGGTTGTGCCTCGGCTGCTTGGGGATGGTCATTTGGGGTATACTTCCGCCGGTGAGGGGAAGGGGATTGTGCCTGTTGTTGTTCATGGGGATTTGTGGAGTGGGAATGCTGATTGGGGTCGGATTATTGGCTCGGGTCACGATGAGCCGCCTGGGGATGTGGTATACGACCCGTCAGCTTGCTATGGGCATAGCGAGTTTGAGCTTGGAATTATGCAGATGTTTGGTGGGTTTGGGGCTCGGTTCTTTGATCAGTATCATCAGATTGTACCGAAGACTGAGCCTGTGGCGGAGTATGCTGATCGGGTGGAATTGTATGAATTGTGAGTATTTCGTATCCTGCTGTTGGAGAAGTATACTGATATAGCCAAAAGGTATCATCATCTGAATCATCATGCTATTTTTGGTGGAGGCTATCGATCTGGTGCTATATTGATTATGCAGAAGTTGATCGGGAAGTATGGAAAAGACTAGAGTCTGATGATTTCAGCAAGGCTATCCTTTTGAATTTCAATATCCCGCTAGAGATAATGTCCAATCACGAATATGCTTAAGATATGATGTCACACTATTGTCCAACTTGAGATTCTTTTTTACCTTCCACCTTGCCTTGAAAACACCCACTTGCACTCTACAATGTCAGCTCATCCTGACTCCAACCTATATCCCGAGGCCAGTGGCCCGGCCAAGGCGCTGGTCGATAAGCATCGCGCTGAACAGCCATTAAAGTTATATGCGGGGTGGTTCTGTCCGTATGTCTACGACCCCTCTATACTTTAACCAACCAACTGCTTACCAGGTATACAGATTTGGTATGTCTCTAGCCACTCGTCCATAAGTAACAATATTAACAAAATAAAGTGCAACGAGTCTGGCTTGCCCTCGAGGAGAAAAAGATTCCATACGAATATATCGAGGTCAACCCATACAACAAGCCAGACTCATTACTCACACTAAATCCGCGAGGCCTAGTTCCTACACTCTCAACACCAGCAGATCCACACCCACGGCCACTGTACGAATCCACAGTGATCTTGGAGTATTTGGAAGAAGCTTACCCAGACCACCAACCCCGCTTCTTGCCAGATGATGCCTACGAGCGTGCCCGCGCACGCATCTGGATTGACTATGTGACATCTCGAATAATCCCGTCTTTCCACCGTTTCCTACAGTACCAGCCTGCAGATGGCACTGGGCAGAACGCAGATGTGGGGTTGGATCAGGCTCGGCAAGAGTTTTTGAATCACCTGAAAGCCTGGACCAAGGAGATGCACAGTGAGGGACCGTTCTTCCTTGGTGAAGATATTAGTCTGCCAGATCTGGTTTTGGCTCCGTGGGCGGTACGACTGTGGGTGCTTGATGAGTTTAAGAGTGGTGGATTAGGGATTCCGAGGGAGGGGGAAGGGGGTGCGGATGAGGGAGTTTGGAGCCGATGGAGGACTTGGCTGGCTGCTGTTGAGAGCAGACGGAGTATCAAGGAGACTACCAGTGATCTTGCGCATTACCTTCCCATCTACAAGAGATATGCGGATAATACAGCTCAAAGTGAGTTGGCTAAGGCGACACGGGCTGGTCGGGGGGTTCCTTGAACTTGAGGGATTTGTGAGACAGTATACTGCTATTCAGGTATATCCAGCATTAGTTTAATTGCACATCCGTCTTCGGGAAAATAAAGCGTCATGGTAGAGACAGATATACACTTCGGAATAATATATTCCCGATAGACCTACACGTGATTGCGAGCTCTTAGGTGGACACGTGATCCATATATCAATCCAGTCACTTGTTGCGCGTCTTCATCTTGCAACTTCCAAAGACATTGCTCGGTATTGCCATATCCCTAGGAAGTCTAAGAAACCGCCATGACATCAAATACGAGAGAAGAGTCTCCTCGCGGGAGCTCAACACTGGAATCTGGCCTGTCACCCCCGGCCATCCACCCGTCTTTTATACAGGTGGCCAATCCATATATATTCGAACAGACAATTGAAAATTGTATCGAAGCGATGAGCGTTAATCCCCTTCGCGAGACTTCATTGCGTCTTCAGGGCGTAGCGTGGATCGACAGCGTACGGAGAGCCCTCAACCTGTGAGTTGACTCCAAGCCAAGCAAAATGCATCAGGACTGACTGGAAATCCAGTCCCATTCGCACCTTTGACACAGCAGTTGGATATTACCACCGATTTCGATTGGTGCATCCAGACAATGAGTATAATTTCACAGTGAGTTCACTTGGAAATCCTTCAAGGAGATCAGCCTAACCCGGGATATAGGATGCTGCGGCCGCGGCTTTGTTCACAGCATGCAAGATCGAAGATACGCTCAAAAAATCGCGAGACATTGTCTGCGCAGAGCACAACTTGAAAGTGGCGCCCTCGGAGCACTTATCGGCTGATGATCCTGTAAGTCATGATCCCAGACGACACAAGACAGAGAATTAACGCTTGTCGCCAGATGTTCGAAGCCCATGCGCGCGGCATTATCGGTCTCGAAAGACTCATGTTAGAGGCCTCTGGTTTTGACTTTCGAACCCGGCATCCTCACAAGACCCTCATGAAGCTAGGTCGGCATTATGGACTGCTACAGAACTCCGAAGTCTCCAATCTTGCCTACCGCATTTCGTCGGATCTTTACCGCACATTTGCACCCATCAAACAAAACTCGTCGACTATGGCCTTTGCCTGCCTTGAGCTTGCAGGACGACTATTAGATCAGCGCGTCGAACAAGTGGAGTCGGGGCTAGACTATGCTCAGTGGAGCACCAGCCGAGCAGAAATCATGGGTAAGTATTGTTGTCGCATTCAATCCACTTAGATGCCACATTAACAACCATCCAGAGACCCTCTTCGACCTCTTAGAACTCTACACCCACCACCGCTCACTAACCGCCGTCGGCTCGGAATTCCCAGCAGACCGGTTTCTAAAAGTCCGCATCCCTCTCAACCAAGAAGCCAGCGAACACAATATCCCGCGCTACCACCCGTGGATCGGCCAGCCACGCAAACCATTCAACGGCACTAGCGCCAATGGCCAAGATACTCCGCGACCTGCCCATCCCTTAACACCAATTGCTGCGAACGGGGACCGCCAGAGAACAGGCGAGCGAGGCCGTGATGCTGCCGTTCGATTCATGCTCGATCCCGCATGTGCAGATGAGGAAAGACGACAGGTCGCGGCGTACTTCAAGGTCGAAATGGAAGAATATGAAGTCGACGGGTAAAAGATGTTCTTGCTATTTGTGTGTGTTCCTGGCACCTGGCGTGCCTCATGCAGCGAAGCACAGCCAGAAAAGGCCTTGCTTGGTTCCGTGAACCGATAATATGATAGCGGGTTGATAGCTTGATAATGAGCTGGGATGGGGTCCCCATATACTATATCCCATCTTAGTTTCAACCGAACAATGCTTCGGTCACGGTGACTCGCTATCGGCTGCTCGTCCGGACTCTTGTTGGGATACGCTAGCATCCTTGCTCAGTTCTGATCAGGTGTTTGTCCACTTTTCTGGACTAGGCGAAACGCCCTGTTTCTTGCGCTACAGTTTCGGAACTAAGTTGTCTCGGGCACGAGCCTCACATTCTGGAAGTTTTCTACCATGATCCTCTTTCCCACGATTTCTCGATACCCAGACACCCTATGACCAGCGACGAGATATGATAGATACAATGAAAAGAACCCTCAACTACCGATAATCGGTTTCGCATTCTAGGACAACACAGTGGGCGATATTTGCTGTACCCACGAACGCATTCTCGAGGAGCAAATATGGAGTGAAAGAAAATTAAGAATCAGCTTCAAACCCTGAATTGAAAGCCATGTACAGATCTACAGCCTGTTGTCTTGACGCGTCCAAAAACAGCGAGACTAGAGGCACATTTGCCAGAAACACACACACACACACACACACACACACACACATACCATGCCCCCCCTTCTTCTACCACTTCTGTAAAGAGATGTGTCTGTTCCACGCATCGCGAGTGTAGCAAAGCTCCTGGCCAGATGGACCGAGCAACACCAGTCATCAAATTTAGGTTCGGTCCAGGCCCCGACATCAATAAAAAAAAGAAGGGAATAGAATAGAATAGAATAGAAAAAAGAGTAAGTACAGGGAAACAGCCGTAAATGAAGAATGAAAAAGTTGTCCCCGTGCCTCCGGCGTGGGAGACTTTCGCTATTCACACCGTTCATTAGGGCCCTTGACACGGGTCATTTTGTTGAGTGTTAATGCCGTGTTGAAAGGCGGATAAGGCGAGCGGGGCGCATGTATGTACATATCATGCATGCACGCATTAAGGATGGCATGCATATTCGGTAGACCTAAATCAAGTCCCGAATGAAGCAAGAAGCAAGAGTAGGGGGTCGTCGGCACAGAAGCAATCGGAGGAGAGTTGCAGGGTGAAGCGCGGGGTTGAAAAGTCGTCCTCGAATGGTGAGAGTGAAAGTGAAATATGAGTGTCATAAATTTGTGTGGTGTTTTCAATCTGAATGCCGTACAATTTTTTAAGTTCATCGACGCTTGAGCTCGGTGAGAAGGCAATCCAGAATCTAGGAGAGGTTAGTAAGACGATCACGGTAATTGGTTCAAGGGAACATACCGATTCTGAGACGGCACCCTGATTATACAAGTACTTGCCCAAGCCACGGACGACCTCGAGCTGCTCGTCAACCGTAAGACCGTTGATGGCGGTCTCGATAATATCACCCACGCTGGCCTTATAAACAGCAATGAAGCTGTGATAGTACATGAAAGAGAAGAAGCCCATGATGAACTGGCAGTCCATGCGGTCAGTGATACCACCGTGACCAGGAATGGACTCGCCGAAGTCCTTGATCTTGAAAGTGCGCTTCAGACCAGAAGCAAAGAATCCACCGAACGGAGCGATCAGCGAAGCGAAAGTGGCGAAGGCCAAGATGTGGAACTGAATGGGTGCTACCCAGAAGGTCTTGTTCAGGCCAAAGATTTCAAGAGAATAAGGTTGCGATGTGAAGACCGGGTTCGGAACACACTCCAGACCGGTCAGAATATTCGATCCCAAGTCATTAACAGGACAGATGAAGTACTTGTAGCGGATCAGCAAGTTGGTCATGAAATAACCAAAGGCAACGGTGCAGGCCCATGCGCCAAGGAATCCCTCAACCGTCTTCTTCGGGGAGAGCTGAATAAGTTGCGTCTTTCCAAAGCTAATACCGCAGACATAGGCGAAGATATCGTTGGTGATGACCAGCGCAGCGGGGAGGAAGAACCAGATCATGCCCTCGAAAATGTTGTTCATGACAAAGTGAGCTTGGACAACAATCAGATAGAGAGCCATATGGGTCCAAGCAAACTGGGTGAACTGGAATCGGTAGTGGCCTTTCTGCAGAGATCCGACAAAGAACACGAATCCTATCAACCGAGGTTAGTGGAGTAAAAGGGGAACAATCGAGATACTTACCCATGACGTAAAGTGTGAAGCTGATGAAGCGGTGATGG